AGGTCCAAAATCAAATTGATGCTGGAGAGGTGTGTTTCTTACTATCGCCAATTTATTTTGAACTCTTCTAAGTATTGATCAGATCTGAATCAACAGAGCTTTTAGAATTTGTTTAGCATACACCTCACAGCTTCTTTATATTTAATTTAAATGTTTTGTAGGCACAATGTTGAACATTTTGAAGTTACATTGTGTAATTGATACTCAGAAGTGATGGTTTCCTACACTTGACTTTCTATCTTAGCCACAGTTGATGTTGTTCAGATTAATACTGGTAAGTTCAGTCATGCCTTGGTTAATATCTGTCTGAAGCATTTGAAGTTAGGCAACTGTGTTGTATGGATGGGAGTTTACGGTCTGAAATTAAAGAATGTTGTATTGAATAATAAGTGATGTATCCAGGAAGAATCAGTGCACTTGGCAGATGGCTATAGAGTGTAAAGCCTGCTGTAATTCTAGTATAATGGCAGTGATGACAATTTCAAGCAAGTGACTGTTCTTTGACTTTCAAGAAAAACTAAAGTACTTGTGCTGAATAGCACAGAGTATAGGAAGGCTTTTCATAAGGGCTTCTAGTAATAGGACAAGGGGTAATGGTTTTAAACTATAAGAGGGTAGATTTAGGTTAGAGCTTAGGAAGAAATTCTTCACTATGAGGGTTATAAGACACTGGCACAGGTTGCCCAGGGAAGTTGTGGATGCCCCCTCTCTGAAAGTGTTCAAGCCCAGGCTGGACACGACTTTGAGGAGCCTGGTGTAGTGGGAAGTGTCCCTGCCCATGCAGGGGGGTTGGAGCTATGTGATCTTTAAGGTCCCTTCCAACCCAAACCATTCTATGATTCTATGAATTATCCTTCTGGTCTTTGTGTCCAATTCCCTTCTCTCTAGATTGTCTTCCCCAAACCAGTGTACAGAATGTTCTTGAAGGCTCATATACCTGTTCTTAGTTGTGTAAACTCTCAAGGCTCTAATTTCTCAGGTTGTTGGTTTTGTTTGTTTGTTTGTTCCTGTTTAGATGGTGCAAGGTAATTCCTTCACCACTTCAACCTACCATTGTTTTACTTTGGCCCTACTTGATTTTTTTCTGGTTTCTTGGGGCAGGGCTTGAAAGATGAGTTCACCTGCAGCTTTGGCAATTGTTTCACTTTTTATACAGGTCATTACAAAGAAAGACCTACTTTTCCTTCTCTTTTTCTAAGATTGTTACTGCTTGACAAAAGTTAATTAGTTTCCTAGTTGTATATTTATTTTTTCTTACATAATTGCATTTCAGCAAATATTATCAATAAGGCAATCTGAAATAACTTTATAAGTATATTTTGAAACTCCACTATGTGCCTGTTTCTCATTTGTATAATTGAAACATATTTTTGCATAACTAATTTTAGGATTACAAAAAAGCAAAAGGCACGTGTGATTTGGAGGTAGTTACAGTCATTTGCTTTATCTTTTCTAAAGAAGTTCTGTGCTATTTAACTTTCTCCACAAGATGGCAATATAAAGCTGCTGTAGTAGCAAATAGCTGAGAATAGCAATAGTCAGTACTAGATTTAAACATGGCAGATTCATTTATAACTTCTATTGATGCAGTGTGTCTAAGAATACTTTTCTATTTTCTTGTATTCCAGAATGATCTAAAGCCTACGGAAGCAAAGAAGAAAATCCAGCATGTTACGTGGCCATGAAGTAGCTAATGGTGCTTGAAACGTAAATTTTACTTCCATGTTTTCAAACAGATAAGTTATATTTAAACAGTTGAAGTACTATTCTTTTTAAATCTTACAGGGATTCATTCAGATTGCTGTGAAGTTTTAACAAGTTTAAAAGTTCCCTGTTGTAAAGCCAGAGTCATTACCACCAATCACCTTAAAAGTGTCTACTCTTGTGCACCAAGTAGTTCATTACTTCTTTAAAAGGTGGTAATATTAAAATGTACTAACCACCCACTTTTAGTTTTCAAGATTATTGTAGTTCATCTCCTGCATGTCCCTACACTTCACACATACAAATATATATACACCTTTCCTTGTTTTGGTAAGACTCAATTTTGGTCCAGTTCTGGTTGAATAGTTAAAATAGCTATTGCGATTCAGAGTTATCCCAAGAGCTTTCTTGGCTTCTAAAAGATAATTCGTTTAGATGAGAAGACTAACCATTCTACTGATAAAATGGTCTGAAACATTTTTTTTTTCCTTTTTGTTATACAGAACAAGAGTGTAGAATTTACAGTGCAAGTTAGGTTGGTAATAAGAGATGAACTATTTAACAGCATTACTTCAAATTGAAGTTTCTCTTATTGGCATATGAAATAAGAAACGCACAGATGGAAGTATATTATTAGAGTGGTATGTGAATCTTTGAGAGGAAGTAGTGAATGGATTAGTGCCACGTTCTCTTAAATACACAGGCATGTGTTACACATTCATACGTGTAAAAATGTGCTGATGTAGCAGCTTGCTTGTTGTCCTGGTTATAGTCATGATTATAAAATATGGGGGAAACCTGTGGAATGGAGACCAGTGCTTTTTGAACTTCCTAACCGTTGGAGGGGGCCATGGATAGGAAAATAAAGAAGTACCCTGGGAGCATTAGCGCTTGTAATTGCACTCTTAAAAAAACAACAACCAAACAACCACCTGCTTTCCCTTCTTTTGGTAATTTAAGAGGGGGTGGGTTTTCTGTGAAACTTGGTGTTTCATCTGGGTTATTGGTAGTGCCTTATAAGGCAGAAATCTAGTAAAGTTGATGGAAACATTTTTATTAAGACTCAGTGGCTCACGAGGAAGCCAATTTAGATACATTTTATATATGGATGGTAAATAATAACACTTCCAGACTTATTAAAACAAAACCAAAAAAGGTATCAACTTCTGAATCCATTTAGTTAACCCACTAAAAGAAGCTGTCAGTAGTGATTTGAAGGCTTGTTTACACTTTTAACATTGGTTAATACTGAAACCAAAACCTGTAGCTTAATTCATTTCTGACAGAAATTCTCCATTCACTGTTACGACATAAAAGGCACTTCTTGAATGCTGTAAAATGGTAAGAATGTGTGTTTTGAAATATTGTGTGCTGTTACCCTTTTACTAAACACTTGTGCAGTTTTTGTACTTGAGTACAACAAACTCTAACATAATGTACATTTTGTATGTAAAGAGTTGTCTTTTAAGTAGCCTTATCCTATTGAAATAAATTTAATTAAAAGCAAATAAAGTAGTGCTGACTTGTTTTGTGATGTAATTAAGCTTGTTCAATATATACTCTTGTATTTCTGTTGCGTTGAAGTGATTAGAACTTAAGAAAAAGCTCACAGGGTAGAAGGCTCAGTTGCTACTTGGGAGTTTTAGCTGCAGTTAGTATCACGTGAAGTGCTGGTCCTTGCACTAGTGTAATAGTCTGGTAGGAGTTGTGTTTTATGGGAGGCTTCTTGGCAGTAGTTTGAAGTCTAGGCTATATTTTGTTGTAGTTCCAGTTGCTAGGAGCATGTGTGTTGGTGTGTGTTAAGGAGTGATACAGAGAACCATTCTGCATGATGCTGCTGTTGCATGGTAACAGTTTTGTTACAAGCTGGTAAGCTTTCTAGCCCTGTCATGTTTCACCTACCTTTTCCCAAAGCTGGGACCATTTCGCCATCTGTTGTAGTGCTTGGGGGGCAAGGTGCAAGCTGTGCTGTTCTTACTGCTTTCCACTACCCCATTAGCTAATAATAATAGTACTAATCCTTTTTGTCTCAGCAAACTATTGGAGCAGAGTTGCAGTGTGCTGAGGGATTGCCAGAGGAGAAAGTGAGGTGCTCCTCCTTTGGGAAGTGTGGATATAAGACGGATTTTTAAGGCTGTTCTTTGCTACACACTTAATCATAGAATGATGTCACCAGAGGATAGAATTTGGTCAGTCAGTGAGATCAGATTAGTACAGTGGGCATTTAAAAAATGTCAGACAGCCAAGTTCTTCAAATGGTGTACAGTAAACCAGATCTGATCTGATCCATCTATTCAGCTTGTTGAATTAATGAGAGAGCATTTTATATTTGGTACAAAAAGAGACAAATTCAAGAGTGCTGGCAGGAGCTAGGAGTAAACTTTCCCTA